CTTAACTTTTATAAAGAATATCTCTTTGGATTTGAGACTTTAGTCTTCGCAAATTTACAGATCTTCTTTATGCACCAAGAGCTTGTAACACTCTAAAGAGAAAGGAAAAAATTAAATCGCATCATATGACCCCTTTAAAGGCACAATATGTAATATTCGCCGCTAGAGGGCGCGTATTCAAAATAAACAAAGAGGCAAAGGCGTAGTTTAATGACGCTGTAACTGAGTGTGGAATCATGGGAGTTGTTGTCTTCATCCCCACAGCCGATGCAATCCGACGGGACTCGGGCAGAAATCATGTTCATGGATGAGCTAATGATTTATTAACATAGTAGAATGAAGCAGGGTGAGGCTGAAAACGCACAACATATTAAAGCGTCTTTGGTGTTTCCATGTTTTCTACAAAACAAAAAGAGGTGTTATGACATCATTTGCAGGCGACACAATGACACTATGGACACGGTCCGTGTCACTAGTTAAAATTGCTTATTTCTCTGGATTTAAACATTCTTCGAAACATTTGGGATAGTGTAAGTACAAGTCAGCAAAATATATAACACTGTTCTAGTGGTTTTTGGATATTTTTATAAAAAATCTTCCATATTGTGCCTTTAAGTGAGCTGATAGTAACATTTTGATGTACAAAAGTATTATATTTATATGAGCAAAAATGGTACCAAAAACGTGCTGGAAATTTGTTTACGACAAAACAATTTATTTTCATGAAAAGCGTTTACTCGAACATAATGGCGTTTTAATAAAATGCCTTCTGAAATGTGTAAATTGAGTTTAGTATAACTCAATGTAAATTATATTTACGTTATACATGAATTTGATTTAAAGAGCTAAATTATGTCTAAAAAGAACTGAGATGGTACACATGAAATTACACAAAACGCTTATTAATAAGACTTAAAAGCAAAAAAAGCTTGACAGTCTATGCCAGGGGTGCCCAAACTCGGTCCTGGAGGGCCGGTGTCCTGCAGAGTTTAGCTCCAACCCTAACCTAAAAAACCTGAAGCTAATCAAGGTCTTACTAGGCATACTAGAAACTTCCCAGCAGGTGTGTTGAGGCAAGCTGGAGCTAAACTCTGCAGGACACCGGCCCTCCAGGACCGAGTTTGGGCACCCCTGGTCTATGCATTTAATACGCCGCTCCGGGATGCCAGGGATGACGTGATGACGTATTTACGTCCGAACGTGAAAGAATCTCTGAATCGGTTTTTGATCCGGCTCTTTGAACAGAACTGTTCGAATGAACCGTTTCGCGGAAATGAGTCGGATTTCCCATCACTACGCTTGCTCTCGAGCTACACGGGCGGAGCAGCACTAGCTCGCTCACCACCTATGCCAACGATATAAATAAATATATGTATTGCCTTCAAAGCATTGTAATAGCCCCAAGCAGCGCAGTACCTTACATCTGAATGTTTTATACGACACTGATTGTATATGAGTAGCTGGTCAAAGAAAGCTTAACGAAAGTACGTGAAGCACAAAGCTAACTGTGTTGCTGTCGTCTACTGCTGTGGCTACTAAATTATTCCTGTAGAGATCAGGCTAACGCGGTGCTGCTAACCCCGCCATGGAGTCAATTTATGTTCTGACATAATTACCACGTGTTTGTGCATTAAATTACTTTAGAGGCATATTTACTATGTGCCAGGTTATTGTGCATTAAGTGCACTATTGCCATGCGATTCAGTTATGGTAGCCTTTCATGGTTACCACCCTGCTAATATGATTGTTAATACTTTAAACCATCTAAATGTTACATTTGCAAAGCACAAATACATACGTTTTGAGCGGATGTATTTAACATGATTTTGCACTGATTGGATGGTGTACAGTGGTGTCTCACTGTTTAGTATTTGTTTTGGTGCCTTACAGTAGTCTTGCCGAACCTTTCTATAAAAATGTTATTGTTGGAACAGCTCTGTGTAGTAAATGTATAGTCCTGATGTGATTTATGTGCATTTATTTCTGTTTTGCAATGTAACAAATCACTTGCAAAGAATCGTGCTTTAATTATTAAGTTCCTGCTGTAAAAAGCTTGCCCCCCTGACCAGTCAGTCATTAACTTGACAGTATAAAGTTTTTTTTTTTATGCACTGGTTTCAGACAGGCTTCTAAAAAGCACCATAAAATGATCTCTAATGATCTAGAACAAATTAAAATGAGCTTTAGACATAACCAGGCAAATATTTAATGTCTGCAGTGCTTATTTCCTTGTAGAAAATAAATTGTAATATGAACAAATTGTGAACAAAATGTAATTCATGAACTCATTTAACTTAATTTTAATTAAATTTTTTCTACCAACCACTGAACCACTTATATCCACAGTTCCTGTGGTCTTGAAAAACCTGGAAAGATCAGGGAATTAAAATTTTTTTTTTTAAGTCAAGTCAAGTCAAGTCACCTTTATTTATATAGCGCTTTTAACAATACAGATTGTGACAAAGCAACTGAACAGCATTAATTAGGAAAATAGTGTCAATAATGCAAAATGACAATATTTCCTTGTAGAAAATGAAAGGTAATATGAACAAAAATGTAATTCATGAACTCATTTAACTTAATTTTAATTTAATTTTTTCTACCAACCACTGAACCACTTATATCCACAGTTCCTGTGGTCTTGAAAAACCTGGAAAGATCAGGGAATTAAAATTTTTTTTTTCAAGTCAAGTCAAGTCACCTTTATTTATATAGCGCTTTTAACAATACAGATTGTGACAAAGCAACTGAACAGCATTAATTAGGAAAATAGTGTCAATAATGCAAAATGACAATAGTAAACTCTCATTTTTCAGTTAAAGACAGTTCATCATTGAATTCAGTGATGTCAACATCCAGCTCAGTTTAAATAATATCTTTGCAATCATGTCAACGATATCGCTGGAAATGAAGTGTCCAGCGTTTAGTCTTGGAATTTATGAAAATGTATAGTTATTTCAGTCAAATTATTTATTTATTTATATTTATATTGTGGATGTAGATAGCTTAATTAGTCAGTCTGTTCTTATTCATTTATTTATTTATTTTTTAATTATCATTAATTTTCTCTCTTCCCACAGTCCATGCACACCTGCTGCTTGCTGTGCCATCGGGAGTTTAAAGACTGGGGGGCAGGCCAGGTGAACGGGCTCCCCAGTCATGGGTCCAAACTGGCAGAGGCTGTACCTGCGCTCTCCCAGGCTCTGCTGAGGGAGGTTCCAGGCCGCAAGCTGGCAGATGCCGTGCCTTCGCTCTCCCAGTCACTGTTGGGTGAAGTGCCGCTGTGGATCTGCCAGAGCTGCAGGAAGAGTGTGGAAGAGGAGGAGAGGAGAACGATTCAGGAGCAAACTGCGCAAGTAATTGAGATTAGCTCTGGGGTCATTCATAGAAATTCAGATTTTACGGACTATGGACTGTTTACAGAAACAGTCAAAACAAAATAAATATCTTTATAACTTCAGAATATGATGAATGTTGTGTTGAATTTTGTGTGAAGAAATAAATTGCGCTTGATAATCTGTAATTTATAAGTTGTACTCTATAGATTTCATTTCATTTAATACAAAATATCAAACCGAGTGGTAAACAAATCATGCTAAAGTTTTTCTGAAAACTAACCTCGCTTTTCTAAACCATTCTTGGTAATTTGTGACTTTTCGCAGTGATTTTTTAGTGGCTATATGAAGTTGATTCCCCTCAAGGTCATACTGGTGTTCAACAAATGATTTTACAAAGTTGTATTTAAAACCAAAATATTGGAGTGCATTGTACAAGAAAATACAGTTTCAGAATTTCTTCTTAAAATATCACATTTAATTAAATGTGTTACTTGCCATTTCTTTGTAATAATGAAATTTACTAGCAATTTTTGAGTGAAAATAGTTTATACACCCATTACGTAATTTCATACCTAGCAAACTTTTTTTGTAAATTATTTTGTTATGCTGTCTTCCGTAAAGATTTAATGGATTTTAATAAAATTGCATGCATTAAAAACGAAATAAAGGTGAAATAAATGTTTTATTAAATAATTAAACATTTTAATATTTTATTATCTAATGCAATGACATTCATATATTTACTAAGTGTGTATCCAAATAATTTTTAGGTCTACTGTACATGCATAGAATTGTAAGTTGTTACTGTTTCAAGTGATCCATTTTTTTGGGTGGGCTTATTTTTATTGGAAGATTGCAATAGAATTGCAGAAGATGGTTCATTCAGGTTTGCTGATGTTAAGTTTGCATCCATTCTTTCATTGGATGAAGAACACTGGAACCTCTTCTTTTGACCGGAAAGCTCAGTATGTAATTGAGGACAATCCTGTGTACACAACAACAACAACACAAATTTGATAGCACTGACATGTCCACAATTTTCCATGCACCTTGTAGATCCTTAACAGTTTCTGTAGATGTGCAGTTTGAGGTGTTTTTTTGTCACTTGTCTAAAAGATGAATGTGTTGTTACTCAGGTGCTGCTGTCCCACTCGTCCTCGTGTAAGTCTCAGAGCTGTGGGAATGGTTATCCTGAGCATAGCTCGGTGGATTGGGACCCCAGCTCCTTCCTCTCCGCGCGCAAACTGTCTGGCCTGTGGAACTCGGCTCATTCTAATGGAGGATCTCAATGCAACCACAGCACAGCTACGCTTTCGCAAAGTATGTCTCTTTTGCTTCATTACACAGTGATTCTAGTCGTCAGTTGCAGCATTATGCGGCCTGAGATTTTTGTATAATGACCAGTGAATTGACCGTCTCAGGCATTTGATTTTCTACATAACAGTGCTAGTTTCAGCTTTCATATCACTCCATAATTTCTTCTTTCTCCTCCGATTATGAACTCAAATCAATGTCATGCTCATTTATTTATTTATTTGGTGTTTAGCTGTTTAATAATTGGGATAATGTACAGTATTGTGGCAAAATAAAACTCTGCAGGGTTGATACAAGACATGATTAAACTTTTCTTATATTCTTCTGAGTGGTTTTCTTTAACAGATGTACAAGAAGTATTTAATAGAATTTGGCTGGAGAAATAAGACAGACTGACTTGTGTTATTTCTTGTCCTGATAGGCGGAACGGTGGGACCAGCTTGCCATGAGAAGAGATCTTCTCATGACGCTCCCGGGAAGGCTGCCAAAACATTCGGGAATAAAGTCTGTCCCTACAGTCATCCCGCATCCCAGAATTCCAATGTGGCTTCTCCTGGGACACTGTCTGCCTCCACTGATCTATGTAAGACCAACCCCAAGCACTTCAAGACAATGTGTCGACGACCAACTCCTCCAGGTAAGAACACAATTCATTCCACAATATGAAATATGGGCAAAGCTTTATATTAGGTTGTAATTTTTAACAGTTAATACATTAGGTATTATGAAATAACAACGAAGAACATTTTTTGCAGCATTTATTAATGTTAAGGTTAATATTCATTCATAAATATACTATTTTTAATTCATGTGCATTTATAACACATTTACTCATTTTATTTTATACAACTTACAATACAACAATACAACTTAAAATGTGAAAAATGTAATTGTATACACTACCTTTCAAAAGTTTGGGGTCGGTAAGAGGTTTTAAAAGATTTCTCTTATGCTTACCAAGGCTGCATTTATTTGATCAAAACTACAGTAAAAACAATAATACGGTGAAATATTATTGCAATTAAAAATAACTGTTTTCTATTTTAATACAATTTTAGTGTCATTTATTCCTGTGATGCAAAGCTGAGTTTTCTACAGTCATTTCTCCAAGTCCTCAGTGTTACATGATCCCTTTTGCATTCGGTGCACAAGAAACATTTCTTACTCTTATCAAATATAATAAGTCCATAATAATAAAATTCATGAGACTTTATGCATTATCTAATGTTATCAAATGAAAGAGTTACCAAAATGTAATTTACCACTTTGTTTAGCTGATTTTATATACAGTGTCAGACGTTGTTTTTAATCTCAGTGTTTCTGTTGATAGAATAGAAAGATAATAGATTAAGGGGTTGAAGTGCTTGTTCTAATTTTAGCGCAGTGTTGCAGTAGAAGGACTGAAGGAGATGGTGTGGGAGAATATGTATTAGAGGTGCAACTATATACCAATGCCACAGTTCGGTTCATATTGCGGTTTTGGAGCCACGGTTCAGTTCGGTTCTGTTTGCTGTGGGGGTCAGGTTCATGGCATGGCACCAGCAATGCTAAAACACACTAGTAGATTCACGTTTAACTTAATAATAATAATAATAATTGCTCTCTGTTAGTTCATGTTAATTAATGCATTAACAAATGAGACTTTAATAATCGTTGCTTTGTAAAGTGTTACCAAAAAAATCTATTGCCTTGAAAAAAAAAAAAGCCTAAATAATGCAAACAAGTCATTGGACAACATTACTTAAGCTACATATAAAAATGCTTGTGCCATGGATAAATAAAATGGAATAGCCGGACAATAAGGAAATTATTTTATAGCTATATTCATGCTATAGTGCATAAATGTTTGCGGGAATTTCCCGCTTTATAATCGCGAAACCTGCTTGAATGTGTAGAATTATGCACAGTGCCCGTAATCCGGCAGCGAAACACGGCAAACTCAAAAAATTCACAGTGTTTTATTATAATAGTGTTCTCATTATAAGGTTATGTATATGAGAGTCATAGTTATTAATATTCTGCATTGAAGAGATAATCACCGTAGTAGGCCTACAATGAAGCGCTTTAGTGCAGCATAGCTCAACCAAATGCATCTTATATGAGCTTTTAAATTTACACTATGTCCCAATGTGACAAGTGTCAGACTACAATAAAAAGGAAATGTTGCTGTGACAGTCACATCCAATCAGAGCATTTCGATGTTTAATAAACTGTAAGGTGAGATGATGAACCAATGAAGTTTCAGTGGGCTGTACCACTGGATGCAACAAAAATAGAAACAAAGCGACCGATAAAATGGCCTGTTGCCAAGATACAGTATGTGCAAACTTGAAACTAAATAGACATCACCTAAACTACTAAATAACTAAGAATTAAAATATGCTATTTTCTACAGGTGAGGCGTTCCACCCAAATGACCACCACCAAGCTGCAGACCTGTCAGTGCCACCCAACAGTCCTACGGGTCTCTCATCCCAGCATTCCTCGCTGCTGCCTCCCAAGCAAAACTCCAGTCAGCATGTTCACATCAACTCCACTAGTTCGGGGCTGCCTTCGCACGCTCCCTTCTCCCCGCTGGTACCAAACATTCACGCTCCTGCAGCTAAGCACTCGAGTGGGGCGGACAGTCCGGTGGCCCTACACAAGCCCAGCGGCTGCAAGAACTCCCACATTCCCACTGTTAACACACAACACAGCAAACTCAGCAACTCGCTCTTAGGGTGCAGTCACCCATGCAACGGTCACAGTAACGGCAGCTCTGTAGCCTCCTCCAATGCTGGCCATCTAACGTCTGGGGCATGCAGGTGAGCATCGGTGGACCTACAGTGAGCATCGGTTGTTTTTATTGCTTAATATTTCGGTGCGTTAAGTTGTGTTGTTCTGTATAAACAGGGACCAAGCGTGTAAAGGGCACAAGTTGCCCAACGGGTCTTTGTGTCACGCCCAACCCTGTGAGCTTGAAGAAGGAGATGATGAGGACAGTAGCTCGGAGCGTAGCTCTTGTGCTTCCTCCACCAATCAGAAGGACGGGAAATACTGTGACTGTTGCTACTGCGAGTTCTTTGGCCACAACGCGGTATGTTTTCTTTTAAAGGGTTTCTGTGGGCCTTAAAAAGGTTTTAGTTTGCCATTGCACAAATGAAGACCTTAAAAAGTTCTTAAATCTGAGCAGAAATTCTTAAATTCATAAAGTCATGGCATTAAATGTTGCATGCACTGCAAACAATGAATATCTTCCTCAGTGTTTTGTCTTGTTTCCCAATACAAATATCTCAGCATCCCTATATCAAGATATATTTACTTGAGATACAAAATGAAGATATGTAGTCTTGTTTTTTGAGAAATTGAACAAAATGAAGTGAATTTATACTTAAAAGAAGATAATATAAGGAATGAAATCTTGTTCTCCCTTTACATGAATTTCATTTGTCTGAGCCCACTAAAAGATATTTGTTCTTGTTTTAATCAACTCACTTCATTTTAATGAATTTCCCAGCAAACAAGGTTGTTTCAAATGTTTCTTGATTTAAAGGGGTCATGGGGCCTTTTTTTATTATCTTGTACTGTTCTCTGAGGTCCACTTATATAGTTATCAAGATTTCTACATTAAAAACATCATAATTTAGAAGTAATAGGCTATTTAAGTAATAAGTTCCATTTGAATAGGCGTGGTGGATTGTAGACTCGGAAGTAAACGCCCACTGCTATGATTGGCTAACAGTTGTGTATGTTTGACAGCCTACATCATTCATAGATAGACAATGCTGTGATTTAGGTCAAAAACTCATAAACACATAAGTACATATCAAACGATCTGTAATAACAGACAAAGCAATAGTGACCACATAATAAAAACAGCTACTCACACTTGTGTGGAGCGACATTACTGTCAGATCCAATATATTTGGCACAGCATCATCTTTCTGAAAATCCTGTGTCGAATTGTCTTGTTTGTAAACAAATCCACAGTAAAATGAAGTGAACAAAGGACCAAGTTCTTAGTGACGCGGTCTGGAACTTCGTTAAAAATATTTCATCCACTCTTTCCTAATGTCGGGATCAGAAGGAAGGCAACTTGGCACTGCACAGCATCTTGTTTTCTTCTGAGCATCTTTATCATTTGGTTTCTGTGTAGACCTGCGTTTATCTCCCTTGTTATGTACACTACATGCATGAATCGGTGGGCGGGGCTAACCCGGCAGTGATGCAGAAGCAGGCGTTGATCTTCTTCTGTGGAGGCGGGGTTTAGCCACACTATTACATCATAAAATGGCACATTCTAAAACCTGTCATTTTGGCAGATTGACTTAAATATAAGCTGTTTTTAGACTAACAAGAAAGTTTTGAGTTCTGAAACTTACAGGATGTTTTTATAGTACAAAGACCTCTTATATGCCAAGATGCCCTGGAAGAAGAGATTTTGCATCTCAATGGGACTATCCTGGTAAAATAAAGGTAAAATTAAAATTCAATAAAATAAAAATGTCAAGAGATAAAGGAATTTTTAAATTTGCAGTGTGATCATAAGGTACCGAAAAAAAAAAAATCCATATTCTAGTGGTTGGAAGCAGAGGTATTCAAGCCTTGAAGGAACACTCCACTATTTTTGAAAATAGGCAAATTTTCCAACTCCCCTGGAGTTAAACAGTTGAGTTTTACCGTTTTCTCCAGTCGAGCTACAGCACTTTTAGCTGTAGCTTAGCATAGATAATTGAATCTGATTTGACCGTTAGCATCTCACTCAAAAATGACCAAAGAGTTTCGATATTTTTCCTATTTAAAACTTGACACTTCTGTAGTTACATCGTGTACTAAGACCGACGGAAAATGAAAAGTTGCGATTTTCTAGGCCGATATGGCTCGGAACTACTTTAGCAGGCGCAATGATATTACGCAGCGCCTGAAAATATTCCCCAGCACGCTCCCTGTGCAAGCAGGTGGTCACGTTGGTTATGTTGACGGAAGTTAGCCTATTTTCAGGCGCTGCGTAATATCATTGCGCCTGCTGCACCCATGGTACGGCAGCAAAGTTCCTTGATTATTATGCCGGAATGAGAGTATAGTTCCTAGCCATATTGGCCTAGAAAATAGCAACTTTTAATTTTCCGTCGGTCTTAGTACACGATGTAACTACAGAAGAGTCAAGTTTTAAATAGGAAAAATATAGAAACTCTTTGGTTATTTTTGAGCGAGATGCTAACGGTCTAATCAGATTCAATGATCTATGCTAAGCTACAGCTAAAAGTACTACCGCCACACCGAAGATCGGCTGAATGGATTAAAAAACGGTACAACTCAACTGTTTAACTCTAGGGGAGTTGGAAAATTAGCCTATTTTCAAAAATAGTGGAGTGTTCTTTTAAGCCATATTTGTGAAATGAATGAAAAAGTAAATGAGGTTGTATTTTAAAACTTTTATAACAACAAAGACATTTTGCTAGTACAATTAATTTTGTGCTCCCTAGACATTTATATTTTGAGAACATATTGACGTAATGTGTTCCCTGCAATTTATTTCCTAAATTTTCTTTACTTGGTCTTAAAAAGGCCTTAAACTCTTACTTTTCTTTCTGTTTACTTCCATAAACCTGCAGAAACCCTGTCCTAATGTTCCTTCTTTAATGTTTAGTCATTGCACTACACATTATGTTTGCGTTTTGTCTACCATAACTACAATTATTTGATTTCCTCTGTACAGCCCCCGGCCGCCCCCACCAGTCGGAACTATGCTGAGATCAGGGAGAAGCTTCGGTCCAGGCTGACCCGCCGTAAAGAGGAACTTCCTCAGAGGCAGGATCTAGATCCGGCGGCACCGAGTGCCATAGACCATCGAGACGTGAACGAACTCCTGGACTTCATCAACAGCACAGAGCCCAAGCCTGTCAACAGTGCCAAGGCTGCAAAACGGGCACGGCACAAACAGAAGAAAAAGGTGCACTGTTCGTTTTCCAATTTAGTTTTGTGTATAAATGTCCGGAAAAGAGATCATTACAGCTGTCATAATTTCTGGTTTAATTGTTACATCGGAAGTGAAAGATCCTGAATTCTGAAAAAATAAAAGAATTCAGAAAAAAAGCTGAAGGTGTGTTCCTCATTACTTATTTACTGTCTAATGCAGTGGGTCTCAATCAGAGTGTCAATATAGGTCAATTAAGCAATCACAATTCATTGTATGATTCTAGATGTTTCCCAAAAAAACATTTATTTACATACATTCAACAGTTATTGAGGCGAAAAAAGACATATGATTTAGGTTGACATCTTGATTGTATTTTTTAGCAAGTTTAAGTTCATTAAGATTATTATATATTATTACATTAATAATATATTCATGCAAATAATTTGAAGTCATACTACAGCCCCCTTGAAAATTTGCTGAGGCCCCTTGGTTGAGAACCACTGGACTAGTAGAACTTCATAAAAGTGTTTGGACAGTAATGGAAACGAACTCAATTGTCTCTGAAGCATCAGTCATTTTGATTTTCAGTTATGAATATTTGTAAGTTGAGTATTTCTTAGGAAGTAACCTTTAGAGGCGTTTATCACATGAATACAGTTGTATAGTTTGTCTAACCTATGTGTGAAAAATCTAGGATTCAAAATGTAATTTAAACCTGAAAATACATAAAGTTCTAGTACATTGAGGAATTATCAAGAAAGAAATTCTGAGATGTAAATGAACAATTGTTGAAGATTCTGCACTATTTCTAGGCTACTTATCAAATAAGCAAAATTATATTTTTGTAAAGAAAAAATTTATAAATTTTTCTTGAGTGGTCTCGGGTATGTATTTTTTTTCCCATTTGTTATTTATTTTGAAATTGTACATTAATAATTGTAGCTCGAAAGGAGTCTGCCAAGGAGAAACAATTGAAAGAGGAAGAAAAGATTCTGGAGAGCGTGGCCGAAGGCAGAGGTAAGCAAAAACAGAATAATTTACCAAGTTCTTAAATTTATAGGTCAGAAGTATTTCATAAAATCATAAACATGCATCTTTCCATATCTTTATCAGCTCTAATGTCTGTGAAGGAAATGGCCAAAGGTATCACATATGAAGACCCAATAAAAACAAGGTGAGCTGCCTTTAACTCTCCTTTGTTTAACTCTCATTTGTCAGATCAGTTGTGGGTTTTTCACAAATAAAGACAACAGCAATCAATTTCTGATTTTCTCTTCAGCTGGAAAGCGCCACGTTACATTCATGGCATGCCAGCAGCGCGGCATGAACGTGTACGGAAGAAGTACCACATTCTTGTTGAAGGTGAAGGCATTCCACCACCCATTAAGAGCTTCAGAGAGATGAAGTTTCCTCAGGGTAAGATCCATCTCTCCTCTTTTACATGCAGCACCTCACTCACAGCTTCACACTAATGGCACGCTCTCAACTTTAATGGTCTTTGCAGCCATCCTTAAAGGACTGAAGAAAAAAGGAATCATTCACCCGACACCCATTCAGATTCAGGGAATACCAACCACGTGAGTCGCAAGGCCATGGCATGGTTTCGCTTGGGCCAATATTCAGGCATTATCATACAGCGTCAGGTGGTCAGATGGTTATAGCTTTTTGTTCTTTAAAAAATGTGTAAATTAATAAAACGCATATCTTGAATTTTAATAAAAGTATTTAATCATTTTCATATTCTCATATTACTGTGATATATGTATGATACTGTATATGGGTCAAAGACGAAAAGGGGTTTAAGCATAAAAACAATAAATGTAATACTGCTTTAAATTGTTGTTGTTTTTCCCAAAATAAATTTAAAAAAATTCTGTTTAATTTAATTTCAATTTAGTTTGTTTTTCTGAGCAAAAAATAAATATCATACATTTTCCCCTGATTTACAGAAGAGACCCACTAAAATGTCATTCAGTGTAACAATCTTGCCATTCATATTTACAACAATCAATTTATGACATATTAAAAGACTAATTACTTTCACCCCAAATACTAATTTGTTGTAATTTTACATTTTTTAAATTTGCCACTATCCTAGGTTTTGCCCATTTGTCAGTAATAATTTTTTACTAATTTAAAACACAATAAAATTGAATATGCTCCCTTATTCTTTTATATATTTTAATATGTACACGTCAGAATAAGCATGTTGTTTGAATTTTTACATAAATATTGTGTTACAGTCAACCAAATTTGGACATTTTATTCTCCAAAAACTTATTTGAAACCTTAAAAGTAGACACTTTACTTACATTTAATGTGCTTTCTATGGACATAAAATCACTTTTGTAAATGTATTTTGATGCGGACCTCTTAATGTCTTTGACCCATATATAAATCGTTAGAATTTATTAGGTAATAAAATGTTAATGTTAATAGATAATAAATTATATATATTTATATATTCAATTCAAGTTTATTTGTACAGCGCTTTTCACGATACAAATCGTTGCAAAGCAACTTTACAGCAAATTAAGTTTCTACAATATTTAGTAGTAGATTATCAGTGGTGACTGTCAGTTAATGTACATATGGCAGAAATGGACAGAAAAATTAATTAAATACGTTATCAAACAGACGATGAACACTATTAACAGCAATTATTATATGATGCAATCATATGTGTGTGTGTGTATGTATATGTATGTATATGTATGTATGTATATATATTTATTTATTTTTTCTTTTAAAATTAATATTGTTTATTTATTTAAATTTGTTTGTTTAGTCTCTCTGGCAGGGACATGATTGGCATTGCTTTCACCGGCTCAGGGAAAACTCTGGTTTTCACGCTGCCCATCATTATGTTTTGTCTGGAGCAGGAGAAACGGCTACCCTTCTGTAAGAGAGAGGGACCCTATGGCCTCATCATCTGCCCTTCTGTAAGCCTACTCTGTCTCTGGCACATCCTGTGTCATCTGCCCGAAATACAGCAGAAAAATGAGAAGCAGATTACCTATGTGTAACAAAACTATTTCACCATATTTCATTATATAAATCATAAGTCAGGAGGCAGACAGTACAGGCACCAGACAGCAACAGTATGGTCATTTATTTATTGTGTGTCTTTCTCTCCATCTGTAGAGAGAGCTGGCGAGACAGACACATGGTATCATTGAATACTACTGTAAACTCCTAGAGGATGAAGGGGCTCTTCAGTTGCGCTGTGCCCTGTGTATTGGGGGCATGTCTGTCAAAGAACAGATGGAGGTGGTAAAACGGTAAGTCACTTTGTTTAAATTTAGTGTTTACATTTCCACGTTGTGACAAAAATGACTGGGACATTGTACTTGGTCTTTATTTGTATGCTGATTGATTGCTTTAGAAATCCCTTATAAACTTGCAAATGATTGTGTGATCGTAGCGGGGTGCACATGATGGTGGCCACTCCAGGCAGACTGATGGACCTGCTGAACAAGAAGATGGTGAGTCTGGATATCTGCCGCTATCTGGCTCTGGACGAGGCTGACAGGATGATTGACATGGGTTTTGAGGAGGACATCAGGACCATCTTCTCTTACTTTAAGGTACTTTTATGCACATCTCATGATACTGTTTAGGTTATCCAATAATAGAGCATTTAGTCAGTAAATATAGTAAAATGTTACCCCCTTTTTTCAGTGTTTTCCTGAAAATGTAGTGTTTTAGAGCTAGAATAATAGTATTTTAGAAGTAATGAATGATTTTTTATTTTATTTTTTATGACCAGAGTGCTTTTTTTGCTTTAGGGTCAGAGACAAACACTGCTTTTCAGTGCCACTATGCCCAAGAAGATTCAGAACTTTGCCAAAAGTGCTTTAGTGAAACCTATCACCATTAATGTGGGCAGAGCTGGAGCTGCAAGCTTGGATGTCATCCAGGTGAGATATTAAGATTCATGCAAGGCCCAGCATTATTCTTTCCTCATGTTCCATTCGATCCTTCTAGTTGTTTTGTGAGTTTTGCCAAGGTGGATTTTTCGAGTATTGTGAAACATACACTACTGTTTCAAAAGCTTGGGGTCAGTAAGATATCTATTTTTTATGCATTTTATTCAGCATAGTTGCAATAAATTGATCAAATGCAGTAGTAAGATATTTATTATATATTATATTTATTTATTATATTTACATTTATGTTTATTCTATTGTTTATTTCTATTAAATAAAAATCCTGAAAAAACGATTCCCGGTTTCCACAAAAATATAAAGCAGCACAACTTAAATGAATGTTTTTGAGCAGCATATTAGAATGTTTCTAGATCATGTGACACTGAAGACTGGAGTAATGATGCTGAAAATTCAGCTTTTCCATGTTACATAAAAAAAAACAATTATAAAACAGAAAACCGTTATTTTAAATAGTATTAATATTTCACAATATTACTGTTTTTAGCGTATTTTTGGTCAAATCAATGCAGCCATGATGAGCATAAGAGACTTTCAAAAACAAAAAAATCTAAACCAACCCCAAACTTTTGCACGATATTGTATACTACTAAATCAGAACAGAAAGTTTTACTTGTATACATCCTGTCACTTTTAGGAAGTGGAATATGTCAAAGACAAAAAAATCTAAACCAACCCCAAACTTTTGCACGATATTGTATACTACTAAATCAGAACAGAAAGTTTTGCTTGTATACATCCTGTCACTTTTAGGAAGTGGAATATGTCAAAGAAGAGGCCAAAATGGTTTATCTCCTGGAGTGTCTCCAGAAGACCCCACCGCCGGTACGTAGCTTCTTGCTCTTTTTAAACCACATCTGAGAACCCTACATAATCTCTTCTAACAATCACACTTCCCATATTGGTTTTTAGGTATTAATATTCGCTGAGAAGAAAGCAGATGTAGATGCCATACACGAGTATCTTCTGCTGAAAGGTGTGGAGGCGGTGGCTATTCACGGTGGAAAAGGTAGGACATCAACCATCTCAATCTGCTTGTAGCACAAGCACCATCAATCAGGTTTAATGCGTGCTGTTTCCCGCAGCTACAGCTGCTCTCCACTGGGTGTCAGCTTCTGCTGCGTTGTGGCTCCTATCATAGCACTAAACCAGTGTTCAAACTATGTCCGAAGTTTTGATCTCGCTTACACTCAAAGCAGCAAAGTGTCTGTGGCTTTACTTCACCCTGATCATACACTAAATACTGCTGCTCGTGTCACCTAAAATATATAATAGTTATGAATGTGACTGTTCAGCACAAAGGTAAGCAGCTCGTACAGTTCAGCCACATTTACCTCAATAAACTTTGTGTGCTTTTCAGACCAGGAAGAGAGAACGAAAGCCATTGAGGCATTCAAAGAGGAAAAGAAAGATGTTTTAGTGGCTACTGATGTTGCTTCGAAGGGTCTGGATTTTCCAGCTATCCAGCATGTTGTCAATTATGACATGCCCGAAGAGATTGAGAACTATGGTAGGTGTTCATATAATTGTTTTTTGACATTATTGGTTTATCATTAAAGCTTATTGGCTTGTATACACTACCTTTCAAATGTTTGCGGTTCAGTAAGATTTATTTATTTCTGACTATCATTCAGCGGGTCACATAAAAAATTATAAAAAGTGTCTTTATAATGCTACAAAAGAGTTCTATTTGAAATAAGCTTTGAGCTTTCTAGTCATCAAAAGTATTAAGCAGCATGACTGTTTTCAACATTTCAGCATAGCAAGAAATGTTACTTGAGCACCAAATCAGCATATTAAAATGATTTCTGAAGGATCATGTGACACTGAAGACTGGAGTAATGACTGCTGAAAATTCATCACAAGCATAAATTACATTAAAAGTAAATACAATCTTTTAAATAGCAATAACATTTTACAGATAGGGCTGTCGATTTAACAAGTATCATTTCATAGTTTTTTTTCCCATTTAACAATAATGACTCAAATTGATTTGATTTATTAGATTAATTAATTTACACATGTAATTAGATTAACAATTTAATTGCTAGACAGTTCAAAAAGTATTTAGAAACCACTATTAAAATGAAAATATCAAAAAGTTTAATTTAAGTAACAATAGTACAAGGCAAAACATCTGACAGAAGTTTATGCAACCTCTAAACCAACTTTAACTTTGAAGCCAACTGGTTAAATGTTGTTGCAAAAATGGATCAGAAAGTGAAGTTAGTTCTGAGAAAAGCTCCACCTTAATTTAACTTCAGAAGCCACTTGATTTGCATATATATGCTTACTAGGTTACCACTTGGTTTGCACATACACACACTACCAGTCAAAAGTTTTTTAACAGTAAGATTTTAAACGTTTTTTTTAAGAATTCTCTTTTGCTCACTAAGCCTGCATTTACTGATCCAAAATAAAAGAAACCTGAAAAATTCTACTCCGCTGTTGTCAACATAATAATAATAATAATAAAATGTTTTTTTGAGCAGCAAATCAGATTATTAGAATGATTTCTGAAGGATCATGTGACACTGAGTAGATTGGAGACTGGAGTAATGATGCTAAAAAAATCAGCTTTGAAATCACAGGAATAAATATTTTTTTTAAAATATATTCAAATAGAAAGCAGTTATTTTAAATAGTAAAAATAGTTCACAATATTACTGCTTTTGCTGTATTTTGGATCAAATAAATGCAGGCTTGGTGAGCAGAAGAGAATTCTTTAAAAAACATTAAAAATCTTACTGTTCAAAAACTTTTGACTGGTAGTGTGTATATATGTGTGTGTGTGTATGTATGTGTAATATATATATATACATACACACACACACACACACACATATATATATATATATATATATATATATATACATACACACACACACACACACACACATATATATATATATACATACACACACACACACACACACACACATATATATATATATATATATACATACAGTGCCACTTGAAAGTTTGTGAACCCCTTGTAGAATCTGTGAAAATGTGAGTAATTTTTAGGAAACACGATGCATTAAGAGAAAACTTTTGAACAGGATGATGTCGTCCAAATTTTTCTTATTTTGTAGTAATATATATTTTTTCCATTTAGTACTGCCCGTCAGAAGCAACAGAAGATACTGTTATTTTAATAATTTCAGCTATTTTTTTGCCTTGTGGACTAAATGGAAACATCTTTTATGTAAAATATTTTACTCGGGACAGTACTAAATAAAAAATAACATGGATTTTGTATGATCTCCCTTATTTTGTTAAAATTACTCACATTTTCACAGATTCTGCAAGGGGTTCACGAACTTTCAAGTGGCACTGTATGTGTGTATGTATGTTTGAAATGTATATAACATGTTTATTCCACAGTCCACAGAATAGGCAGAACAGGTCGATCCGGAAAAACTGGAGTAGCCACAACATTTATCAACAAAGGATGTGGTAAGTTTTTTATATAGATATATAGATATATAGATATTTATAGATATATATATATATATATATTTATATATATATATATATATATATATATATATAGATTGATCTTTGGTGTCTCTCTGTCTGTTTTCATTTCTTGTTCCTCCTTCCGAGATTAAATTACCACACACAGTGAATTATAATTTCAGAGAACATAGATGTAATTGCGCATCAAAATCCTTTTTTCGTAGATGAGTCTGTACTAATGGATCTGAAAGCTCTGTTGGTTGAAGCCAAGCAGAAGGTTCCTCCTGTGCTGCAGGTTCTCCAAATGGGAGACGAGATGATGCTGGATATTGGAGGTACAAATTAGGGATGCACGATATATCGGCCACCATATCGGTATCGGCCGATAAATGCTCATTTTTTCTGTTATCGGTATCGGCCCAATAAGAAAATTTGGCCGATATCTTAAAGCCGATAAATAATGCATTATTTCCTTCAGAGACACTTCAGATGCGCGGTTATCGGCTTTCAAAAATAAAGGATTATCGGTTATCGGTATCGGACAAAATTTTCATATCGGTGCATCCCTAGTACAAATGATACACTTATTGCTGAAACAAGCTTCTATAGCCAGTTGAGCGCATGCCCAAAATTATTGCAACATCTGCCTGGTTGTGCAAAGAGGATCTGCAGCTCTCAAAATTGTAAGATAAAACATTTTATAACATTTTTATTGATTGATTGCTTTTTTCAATCCTAGGAGAGAGAGGCTGTACATTTTGTGGTGGTTTGGGCCACAGGATCACAGACTGTCCCAAACTGGAGGCCATGCAGACAAAACAGGTCACCAACATTGGCCGCAAGGACTATCTGGCCAGCAGCTCCATGGATTTTTAATGCTGTCTGCTACTTTGTCATCAAATCTTTCCATGAGAGAGGCTCCTGTATCATGTCCGATGTCATTTTGTGCAAAATGCATTATTCTTGGAACTCCACTTTTTTTTTTTTTATCAGTGAAACTATCTTTTTTTTGTTGCAAAATACAGTCAAAAAACTTTGCGTAAGAAAAAAACTATATTAAAGTTAGGTTTTACTAGAGTTTTCTGTAGGTTTTGCTTCATAATGATGTTGTCATGTAATGTAACAGCTGAGTTATTTGTTTTAGGACAGTTATGTTTTTGACAGTTAAATTGTTTATTTGCTACACATCCAGTGTAAGTAATGGTCACCTCATGCACCCTCTTTACTTTATGAAACCAAATGCAATAAAATTATTCTCTGAGACTGTATCTCTGGTTATGTCTCTTTGCCATGTCCTGTTTACAACTAAGCTTAAGTGATTGTTAAAGAGACACATCAATATAAAGTTTTCAAGGTTCGAGGAAACCAGTGGGGACCATTTTTAGCCACTTGCTGGTGAATGACGTGGCCCCTCAACCTCATGGAAACATTTGCTTAATATCAGGTTTAGCATCACACGCCGTTTCTCTCTCTCTCTCTCTCTCTCTCTCTTTCTCTTTTGTCAGCTTCTGTAGAAGATAGAGGAACTGGAGCACTTAGAGGCAAACAAGCACAATGGATGTAATCTCTAAAGAGGGTCTGCTCTTTTTGCAGGGCGTCAAGTTTGGGAAGGTGAGGTTATTCACTGAAAATGATAATTTTACACTTAATTCAAGATGGAATTTTTACATATTTTTTTCAGTATATTATTTAATTCTAGTACTAGCACTACTATTTCATGTGCTAGTTCTTAGGTCTTTTATATTGCTTATATTAATAGTATGTTTTATACTGTTTCCTGCTCAACTTCCTGAGTGTTTATTAGCCACGTCATAGGATCAACTTGTGGGGGAACTGTCTTAAAATATCAGACAAATGCATGCATATATTTGCAGGATATTAAAATGAAGTTTATTTGTGATTTAAAGATTCACCAGGTCTTAATTTTCTCTTGCCTTCATGTCGTTCAAAACCTGTATGAGGTTGGAACAAAGATATTTTGAGAAATATCAGTGTTGCTTTTTTTTATTTTACATACAATGGAAGCCAGTGGGCTCCAATGATGTTTGGTTACCAATGTTCTTCAAATTATTATTTGTGTTCCGCAGAAGAAAAAAGTCATACAGGTTTAGAATGACATGAGGCTGAGTGAATGGTGACAGAATTTTCATATGAACTATCCCTGTAATGTAATTAGAATTTATTGAGGAAGGAATGGTATTTTTGGAAGGAAAAATGTGGGACATACCATTGATAATCACAGTTATAACAGTATTAAAACATTCCTTTATTTACAACAAGCCTTGGGAATTATAGGTGGTCAGAAATCTTCAACTGTACATTATTAATACAGAAGGGTAACGGCAGCTGGTTAACCACCTGAGGTGCTTCCATCTTCATGGTAGCATTTAACGGCCATGAATCATGCATGGGAGATAAAACGAAGAATCGTTTCAGAACTTCTGCTCCCTCCGGCATGCTCTCCCAAAAATCTAACCGGTCCCAGTGGAGGAGTACTGAACCAGAGAGTTTGATGTTAAACTCTTCTGAGTTATGCGCCAAATAATTCATTTTCTTTGCTCTGTTGTTGCTTCAAAACTAACGTCACCCCTTGTTCCTGCAGAAGATATGGCGGAAATCCTGGCTGATTCTGTTCGAGCCCAGCTCTGCAGGGATCGGCCGTATGGAGCTGTATGACATGCGTGATAGAGGGGGGCTGATGGGGTTCGCCGCTGCGAGGCCTTCAGGGCTCAGGAAGACAGACAAACGGGTGATCCGGCTGACAGACTGTCTGAGCATCACTCCAGCCCCAGGAGAAAGCTGTCCCACAGATTGCTCTGCCTTCTTTTTAAACACCACCTCATGCACCTACACCATCGCTGCTCCCACCCAGGAGGACTGGATGACTGTTCTGTGCCAGCTAGCATTTCAGGTATGGAGGTTAGTTGATATTGCAAAGTAGGATGTGTTCTTCCAACAAGTCAAGTCAGCTTTATTTATATTGTGCTTTACACAATACAGGTTTGCAGCAATGAACAGGAAAATAACCGAATCAATGATCCAAATTTCATCAAATATAAGACAACTCCAAATTCCGCTGTAAAACAGCTCTAAAAAAGACAATAGTGTCATTATTCTGCTCGAAGAGTAATTCAGTGTAGGTTTTGTTCAGTTCAATAACTAAAATTCAACAAGTTCAATTCAACTATAAGCAGCTCTACAGAAGACAGCAGTGTCGTCATTCAGCTTGAATCAGTTTAGTTTCAAAGTTGCAAAATTCTTTAATTAAATTTGAACCTATTTGTTTAAGCTATAAAGCAGCTCTACAGAAAACAACAGTCATCATCCAGATCTAGTCAGTTCAAGTTTTGTTCTCATCCAATGGTGTAAGTGCAGTCAAATCATTATTATTACTGAATAGTAAGTGTCTTTTAAACCCCAACTAAGCAATCCAAATGTGGATTATGGATATGGACATTATGAATAACCCATATTTGGCAGATACTTTTATTTGAATCAACTTACATTGCATTCAGGGAATACGTTTAATCAATGCATGCATACCCTGGGAATCATTCCCATGACCTTGGCATTCCCTTTGCTCTACTGTTTGAGCTGCTGCTAAAGTTAAAGTTAAATTAATGTGTGTGTGTGTGTGTGTGTGTGTTAATAAATATTTCAAGAATCTAAGCCAGATAAGAACAAGAATGTTAAAAAGTAATTTTATGAAAAAATAAAGCATTAGCCTTGTTAAATTCTGCCATCATGTTGGATCCATTCCAGACTCTTTTCCAGAACCTATCAGTCCATTTTGATCCATTCTAATATCCAAAACCAGCAACAGCAAGATTGTCTGATACCATAAACTAGTTAACACTGCATTTTGTGTCATATCCAAACTAGTTATCAACTAATCAGCCGAAAAAGGAAACATCTGCCAAGAAAGAGCAGAAAGCAAATGACAAAGCATTGGTAAAACAAGCTTATTGAATAATACAAGTTGCATCCTCATGACACAAGTCATAATTAGAATGAAGGACATTTTACCACTACTAAAGTGACTAAAGTCAACACATTTATGAAGGACTTCATTTTTTGATGTACAGTTTCACACAACAGCTAAGTCGAAACAGGAAGTGCTGATAACCACACCTTTGAGTCTGTGATTGCACAAGTTTGTTCATGTTTTTTTTTTTCTTCTTCTTCTAAAGAATGATACGATAAAAAAAGAGGAATTACTAATGTACACTTGTTATCAACTGTCCTATATTTTTAGAAGACCCAAAGAACCGAAGATACCAAGAAAGATAAATACACAGCACTGGCTGACAATGAACTGTACACCACCTGGGGAGCAGGTGAGAATGGGCTCTGAAATACACTTCTCTACCAGCAAAGATGTTTCAGGAACACAATAACAATTATCTGCTGTTAAATTAGGTGTTACCAAACTGTTTGTTGCAGTTGAGCAAGAGGGTGTGTCTTATTGGTGCAGATGTACATTTCCATTACTCAGTGTTTATTAAGGTCAGACACGTCTGTGGTCTTTCATATACGTAAGTGTAAAAGAACAAGAGCACAAAAATAGTCATATTGATTGAATATATAGTGTTTAGTTTCAAGTTTGTGTTCAGTCGAAGTTCTTTTTTTTTTTTTTCTTTGTCTTATTTTAATTTAAAAAAAAATGTCATTGTTGGTTTTCTGTACTCATACAGACAGACTTCCTTGGTGTTGCGTCATATTTTACGGTTTGTTTTTTCAGCTTCTGTAGGTTTTGGGGGTCTATCTTCTTCCTCATGGAAAAATATTAGGTAGCGCATACCTAGTTTTTCTTAGTATTACAGTGCTCACCCAGAAGTGTGTTAAAATAACACATGCTCTTTTGCAAAGTTAAGTTTTTCTTTAGTGAATGATTAGAAGTCGAGTCTTAGAGAAACCGTTCATCTCAAGCTGATTTGTAACACTGATAACATTAATGCTTTAGAACACAAAGTAACTTGGGAAATTCCCATTTAAAATCATTCCAGTCACTATATACAGGTGCATTTCAATAAATTAGAATGTCGTGGAAAAGTTCATTTATTTCAGTAATTCAACTCAACATATATATCTGAAAATGTGTTTTTGAGCCACACAGATAATAAATGTGTTTGGGCATAAAAGTATTCAAAGTTTTAGGAACTAAGGATCCTTAGTACATTTAGTAACAAGTGTTTGTTGTTACATCACTTTATCTTAATTAGTAGATAATCATTTGATAGTTGTTTGTTTGTAATAAACTGAAATTGTTTTATTCACCTCTTACCATTTATTTTTCTTATTCTTACAATTGTTTTTTTTTTATTAAATGATATGGACTTGGAGGACTTTGGTATTCACATATATATATATATATATATATATATTTAATGTATATATATATATTTAATGTATATATAATAGTACATATGTGGTAAATATGTAACTAATGTAACATATGTAACAAAACTTGGACTGCAATTTAAAAATAATATTTAATTTATAATTGTTGCAGTGTTCTATTTACTAGACCGATTGTTAATAGACTTTTTTTTTCCCTGAGTGGAAGCTTTTATTTGGTCTATAAAAATAAAAAAATAGTAATTTCTCAGTTCAGATCAATATTTCATGCCTATGTACTGTTTATTTGTTTAGTTAGTAGTATACTATGTAAGTATTGTAAAATGTAGTGTAGCCAAATTATTATTATTTAAAAAAAAAAACTTTAGGGGTGATACAAGAAACTGTTCAATCCCTGTTGTATGTAATCATGCAAGAAATGTGAAGATGTTTTTGGAAAATTTGGTATACAGCCTTTTTATTTATTTAAAATGTTTAATATTCTAATATTAACGAATCAAGACTGTTTCAAGACCAACCATTCATGTGATCAGTTTCACTGCTTCATAATTCTTGGCCACCGCTGTAAAATATCTTTTGTTCAAGAGGTCTGACCCCAGCGATTGAGGGTTTGTCCAGAGAGACTTCGGTTTGATGTTTT